GTGGGAAATTTTAGCCGGAGTTATTAGTCTGTGGAAAGAAAGAGAGAAAGGCTTTACCGGCTGGCATTTCCTATTACACTGAGCATAATACTTGTAGACAACACATAAAAGGTCTGAAACATTAAGGGATGGAGCAGAGGACTCACTAACAAATCTGCCTCTTGACATCCAATTAAGACAAATCTGAGATTCACACCACCACAAATGCCAAACAGTTATGCTTTACAACAACTATAAACTGGCCAACTAATAGCCTCTGACAGGTTCATGATTTGGTTGGACTGCTTAAAAGAAGAAAAAAATCTACTCTGAACAGCAGCAAGCAAAACACAAGTAGGGTTATGAAAATGTTCCCAGTTGATTACCAGCTTCAGACTTCTCAGCGCACCTTACCACCTCCACGGAGATATTTACCTTCACTGCTAAATTTCCATGACACTTCAATTACAAGAGGTTTTTTTCACCATATCAGCCGTCACGTTAACACCAGGCAAGTCTAAAGCACTTCCAATAAAACTTTAATGACTATAGGGTCTCACAGTTTACTCCAGTGGCCAGAACCGGACCAAAAAGACAACACAATGTCTCCGGGCAGCCAAGCTCCAACCTGCTGCCGCTGGCTGGCCAAGGGAAGGGCCGAGAAACTTGAGGAAGCAGAAGGAATGTGATTTGACCTGGATGTTTTAAGCAGTAATAAGTTTCATTTTCTGGGATTTCTTGTAAAAATATATGGAAATTCTCAGTGTTTGTTTTTACCGCACCTTCTCCAGAAATACCTGGTGTTGGCTCTGACCAAACTAGGCAGGTCTGATTCAAAAGAGATCCCTATAAAGATCAGATGTAACTTGAAAATCCTGGCTTTTTTGTTCTTACTGCAAGATCTCGGGCTAGTTAAGGCCCAGTCTCCCAGGAGCTGAATGTGCATACTCCCACCACCAGCAAACAGAAAGTGGGAGGTAGCACCACTGCACAGCACAGAGGCACAGCAGCACCAGCAGTTCAATGCGATGATGCCCCTACGCACTTGGAGGTACCGTATTAGTGCGCTCCAGAATTTGGCCTAGCCCTGCTGAGCAAGCGTGATGTTATCACCAAGCTGTTCAGAGCTAGCACTGATCTCGTGATACGAGACCACTGCCCATCATGTGAAGAGGCCTGGCTTTTCAGTTCCTCTCACTTTCCCTTAGCTTCACTCACTTCTGAGGTCATGTTTTTGCGTAGCACTTCGCACAGTGGGGTCATGATGAAGATCTGTATTAATAACTACAACACTTGGTACCTAATCAGGTGTTAATATACAACAAAAAAGCTCAAGTTTGCTGACCCTCCGAGAAGTATTGCTCACAGCACATTAGCTTCAATAAGGCTGCATGCAGTGAGCATCTGGACTTATTGTCGTTCTAGTAAAGGTTTGGGAAACCCTTCAAATTACCACTCAGACTCCACTCTTAGCACTGTCAAGCCAGATGCCTGCTATCATTTAAAGTGGTAGATGATTTGGTGACTCTCCTACTGAGCAGCAGTTTCTGAAAGTCCTGCAGAGAGCAAGCGATGCTTCCTCCTCAGCATTTAGCCATCAGGTCAACTCTGCCGCAAGAGGCAAGCTAGCAGCAGTCCTCCACGGTTCCGTGGAGTGTCACCATCCATCCATCATCCTTGAGACCTTTCCCATAGGTGCCCAAGGGAGCATGACATCCTTCAGGGGTGCTGACAGAGTGTCTACCGTCACCGTGGCACTCCCTCCCTGGTGACTCCATGCCTTTCTGCTCCATCTCCTTTAGCACAACTAGGCTACCTGTATCCTTTCCAGGAGCTACTTGCTCCTAAGCTGTAGGAAATTCAACCCTTTTCTAAAAGGACAACATGATTCTTCTGGCTGAGGAATGCCAAGCAAAGCACCATGTTACTACGTTCTTCGCACATGACTGCTCCTGCCTGTAGACTGTCCTCCCCCACCATGCCTTTCCACCCCATGACGCACGGTGACAAGGCAGACAGGCTGCTGCTGAATGAAGCGGTAGTAGTTGGAGGTGCACAACCAAAACCTCAGCAAATCCGGCGAGGGATGACTGTGCAAACAGCAGAAGAGGAAAGGCTGAGTCACTTCCTCCTCCAGAGTCCTAAATACAGAAGGAGATAAGGAAAATAATTCTTCAGGCTTACAAAAAAAGGAACAGATCCCCAGCTAAAAAGGAAAAAAAGGGGAAAAGCAGTGATGGCAGAAAGCGAAGGGAGAAAACGCAGCCTTGTGTGATACAGCAACCTGCAGCTGTAATGAGAAAGGCCATTAAAAGCAGAGGGGCGCACAGCATCGCACCCTAGCTCTTTCGGAAATGGGGTGCTGATAAATCATCTCTACTAGAGGCTCAAACTGGCCAAGCTCTACGACCAGACAAGCTCACATATCCTCACATATCCCAAGAATATTTATGTTAAAGTAAGCTGCTCTCAGCTCTGCATAAGGCACCTAAAGGCTGCAGTGCTGAACCACAGTTATCGCCTTGCATTACTAAACAAGGCATCCTTCTCCGTGCTGTTTTTCATACCAACGGTTGTATATGGTTATCACGTTTCCAGCACCCAGCGCTTTTTGAGCCAAGTTATAAGTACTTAGCTCCCCAGAAAAAGGTTCAGAGAGCAGATTTTTCCAGAATGCTGTTGGCTTTGCTGCTCTTTTCCGGATGGCTTGATGCTCCGGGTGGGCCCAGCCCCAAGCTCCACAGCACAGCGCCTCCCCATCCACAGCCTTCAGCTGCCCTGGCTGGTCACTCCGTAGCGTTGGAAGCGTATTCCTCCTGCCTTGTGCTGGCATCCCTCATTGCTTTCCAACTGAATCTTTTTCACCAAGACTCGGGATCTGCTTCTGCTATTCACAAGGGCTCTCTCTTTCCCAGGGCTTTATGTCTCTATTTTTGACCTTACAGCGGTTCCTTCCCATCCAGCATTTCTTTGCCCTCTGTCCCCTGCTATACCTTAAATTCCCGGGATGCTGCAGTTGCAGCCTGAACCCTCTACAGGGGATGCTTCCATCCTTCAGAAGTATCTCTGCAGCTGCAAACAAGTCCAGGGAAGCTGGACTGCTGCAACTTTGTGCGTCTGTATCAACTTCTGCTCTGCGAAGTGCCAATCACAGCACCTTCCCACTGCCCACCATGCAAGCACAGTGCTCAAATGCCAGGTAAAATACAGAGGGGTAGACAAAGAGATTCCTACTGAAATCAAAGATTTGGGCCGTCTCCAAGCCTATGAATTCTTTGCAGTGGATTTTTTATTCGGTTCAGTGCCCTGCGGTGCTCCTGTAACAAAAAAGGCCATATTCAGCTGTCCTATATTGCACTGAAAGTCCCTGCTCCGAGCTGATGGAGGGAACTGGGCATCTCTAAAGGCTTTGAAGTTCTTCACAGTCTCAGTAAAACAGAGAGCCACCCAGAACTGGCCAAAAGGAAACACATGGCCCCAGGACTTGCGTGGGATCTATAACACCTGGGCTCAGACCAAAGAGTAGTTCATTGCCTAGCACTATTTACAAGGTAGGAAATAAACTATGTCCCAATAACAGAAAAAGGGCCAGGAAGGCCACAGTTCGTGCACTGTAGGAACATCACAGCACATTATACCCTGCCTGGCAGCATCCCTGCAGCCACTCCTCTTTCCCAGTGTTCAAGATTTGGATCATTTGCTTAAAGGGAGATTTTTGTGAGGCGCATTACTAAATCCATGTCTGAAAACCAACACCCAGCCCAGCCCATTTCACCTCTGTAGTTTTAGGCCGTCCAAGAGAAACGCAAACGTCCACAAGCAGCCACACAACTGAAGCCCAGTCTCGTATAGATTTGTGACCTACATCCCCTACACTCCCCTCTATCCCCCACAATTTCCCCCCACAGACAGGCCTGGACCCTCTCTTCCTTCTCCCAGGACCTTGAGCTCCCTCTGGGATCTCCTAAACACCATCAAGGCAAGAAGCAAAACATATTTTGGTTGGTTCGCAGTGACACAAACTCCAATTCCCCAGCAGGCAGAAGTGTGTTATCCAACCCACTCGCGCCCAGATAGGCAATATTTGAGCTCACAGTTGCTGTTGCCTCTCCTCATAGGCAGGAAGTTATTTGGATTTCCCTCTTTCAGCATTCTTAAAGCCTGCAGGACGTTATCTTTGAGACCTATGCTCTTCTGTCAAATTTGGCTGAAATTGGTCCCTGGATTAAAAAGTTTCTGGAGGAATAACAACCGACAGTCAGGCAGTCTGACTGCAAAAGCCTTATTTCGGTAAGGAAACCAAATCCTTCCGATCTCTGCAGCTGGGAAGGAGCCGATTCCTAGAAGGATTGTGTGTGCTAGGACTCCCCAGAAACCCAGCAAGCGGAGAGGAAGGGAGGGGAACCAGTACCCTGTGGTTTTAATAAAGCCATTTATTATTGGCCCATTGCAGGATTTATGATTCCAATTAAATGGTTAGGCTTGGACAGGGTACTATCCAGCTGTCCGAGACGGTGCATATTTCAACCAACCCCCCTGCTTTCACCATACAGATTTAGACTACCTCCTAAGATCCTCAGACAGCCCAATGCAGAATCAGCATCACGGCCGCAGCCTGCAGCGCTGGGTGAACTGCGGAGGTACCGCTCGGGGTTTTCAAGGCGGTCTGCAAAACAAAGCCATCGCGGAGGGG